CCCAGATTCCATAGCCTCACCTCCTCACACTACAGGTCACTCTTCTGACCTAATCACTGAGAACCAGGGACTGTTACAGAGCAGCCTTGGGGAACAAAGGGATTGCGAGTCCTTGCCCAATGTTGAAGAACTCTCCACAGACACACAAAGAGAAATTTGTAAAAGGTACATTTACAAGGGGAGTGAGAAGAGGGAGGGGAGAGAAAGAAGATAAATCGGCCCACACTTCCTACCATCTAGACAACCTAAGCTAAGTCGCGAAAGCTTAAGTCAAAGCTGGAAAAGCAAAAGAGCAATAGCCAGTGTGTGTTCAATTTGAAGCCCAGCATGGCTGCTTAACTCTACACCTAGTTCCCAGTATCCCCCACCCCCATTCAGGAAGACAGGTTGATGACACACAGAGTTATAATGAAGCAGGAAGTGGCTAAGTCTGCTGCTTGGAGCCTGCAGCTGGAGTGGAAAGTTCCTGCAATGTGCTCCTGGCCTACAGCAGTAGCTATGGCTACCTCGACCGCCTTCCCAGACAATAAAGAAAGTTTGTGACGGATGAAGTAACAAGAGCTTCCTCATACAAACTTTATAAAACCTACTATTCCTGCAATTTGGGGCTCAGACTTTTGGGGGAGCTCTCCCACTGAGCCTACTGGTGTGACAAATCTCTCTCTCCACCTCTCTGAGTGCCACCTGATTTCTCTGGGAAATTGCTGTTAACAGTGTAACAGGATGGTCCTCAGGAAAAGGGGAAGTTCCAGGTTCCCTGCCCCACCCAGAAGGAGGGTGGGCTGAGGAGAAAAGAGAAGGGGTCTGAAGAAGAAGGAAGCAGGATGGAGAGCCGGAAGGAGATCTGAGGAAGCCACATGGAGCAGAGGGAGACATGTGAAGAAACAGTGCTTGTTTCTTGGCCCTGTGCTGGTTGAAACAGATGTGGGTGAGAGACCCCTGGGGAGGTGACTACAGGCAGTAGTATTTATACTGATTTTGATTGGGCTCCTTTCCTCCCAGACTTGTCTGGCCATTTCTGACCCTTTTCTATGGGTCCCTGCCAGAAGGTGCTTTAGCCTTGTGGCGGGCTTTCAGGCCTTGTTTTGGGCCAATCCCTTTTGGGTACACTTTTACCCAGGAGGGGATGGGTAACCTCAGGGGTTTTAGATATATAATTTAGAAATTATATTCTTTGTCTTCTGTGTTGTATACTCACTATATTAAAGTTCCTTTCTATTAAAGCTCTTATGTCTTGTCTCAATGCGGCAGATGGCAGAACCTATTTAGAGCAAGCAGGTTTGGGGGTTCAGGGGTGTCCTCCTCTCCCTGCCCTGTAACAACAATAGTTCCTAATACCTGAGGTCTTCTTGGCATGTGGGTGAGGGTAGAGTCTGTTCAGGATATCATTCATGTTTTGGAGTTTGTTCCTTGCTGTTCCTCTGATATCTGGACAACTAGGTATATGTCCCAGAACTCTCTGAAATCGTTCAAACTGGCCAGTTCTAAGACTGCTTAGCCTGCACCTTCAATAAAGCCTCGCTTGTTAAGCTAAAAGAAACTTGAGGATTTGGGTTGTCCTTGACCTATCCAGACTGTTAAAACTGGACAGAATTATGAAATGGTCTTGTCTCTTTGTCTCACAGAGTGACCTTGATATTGTTGCTCAGTGACTCTGCATTCAGCAGAAAAACTCCTTGGCCTGGTTGTGAGCTCAGGGCCTATTCCGGCTTTCTTTTCTTTTCTTTTCTTTTTAAGATTTATTTATTTATTCATACAGAACTGGGGTACAGGCCAGAGATGCGGAGGGTGAGAGGATTCACCAGAGACAGAGTGGGGAGCAGAATAGGCAGATCGACAAAGTACACTGCTGAGGAGAGCAGCGGGCGGGTCAGGAGAGGTCTGCCGCATCATGTGGTCACCTCCAGGGCAGGCTGGGATCGAACTTATGTGGAAGTGGCTTAAGTTTCTTAGTGCAGTGCTTTAACCTGCTGCACCAACAGGGTGCTTTCTTTTTTTTAAAGATTTTTTTTTTTAATTTATGCATACAAGAACAGAGGTGCAGGGAAGTAAAATAATTCACCAGAGACAGAGTGGGGAGCAAGACAGGCAGATCTATTGAAATGCACTGCTGAAGGGAGCAGGAAGATGGGGAACAAGAGAGGTCTGCTGTATCATGTGGGTCACCTCCCTGGCTGGGAACTGAACTCATGCTGCAGTGACTGGTGATCACTTGATAGCACTGAGACTTTAACCCCTGTGCCACCAGGGAGGCCCAGGTTCTAGCTTTCTTATAATGCAAAATCACCAGAAAGCCGGCCTTTCCTACAGCCCAGCTTTCCCTCCCTGGACACTAGGACAGTGTCTGGGCTGTGTGGACTCGAGAGCCTGGGCTCTGAAAAGAACAGTGTGGCAGAGGTAGGACACTAGGGAGATGGAGGCTGTGGGCAGGGCAGGGCTGGAGTTAGCAGGAATCTGACTCCACATGGACTTTATTCTCATACTAACAGCATTAGGTGGACTCAAGCCTCTGCCTGTCTGTTTTGAGCTCAACATCCTCTCTTCCCCAGGGACAGGCGATTTCTTCCAGATCCAGTAGGGCCCCTTGAAAGTGTGAGCTCTGCTACTGGACCATCCCCAGCAGAGGGAGCAGGAGAGCCAGGGCTAACAGATGCTGGAGGCCTACATGGCTCCCTTTCTGCACTGTCATTGTTCAGTTTGGGGCCAAGGTGGCCCACCCAACCACCAGCCCTTCTCCTCAGCAGGATACTCTGGGCTTAGCTTTGGTTGCTGCCTTGCTGGCCAGAGGCCAAGGCCAGTGTGGAGTCGGCACAAGAGGTAGGACAGGGCTGAGCCAGCAGCACAGGTATGCCTACTGTCCTTGAGGACCCCGGGACCTGCCCATCAAGGCTATTTCCAGGGCCTAGCTGTTAGGGGTCTGAGCCCAGCGGTTTGAAGGACAGAGAGTCTGCATGCTAAGAGGTGGCATGGGGCCTGTGGCCTTCCTAGACCCAAGAGGCCTCCATCACATATTCCCACCAGTGTCAGGGCTTTGAGTCCAGGACACCATCAGGTCATTGGGACCCATTCTGGCATTTTGAGGGCCAGGGGATGGAGAAGGCCAGGGTCCTCAGATGCAATGCATAAAATATGGGGGTGGGGAGGGTCTGCTGCTCCCAGCCTGCCCTCATCCCACTCATCTCTGCTGTTTTCTCTCTTATATAGGGGAGCAGTGGTGGATGAGAGAGATGTGGACAGGGAGAGAACCGGCCTCCTGTCACAGCTGGATGCCTTGGAAACACCTGGAGTTTTGGGACAGCTCACTCCCCTTGAGGCTACATGGTGCCTCTCTATAACCACCTGGCATCCCTTGGGACCACCAGGAACCTCTCCGGAACCATGGCTACCTTGTCCTAGGGAGAGACGGAGATGCTAAGGTTGACTATGCTGAGTTGGATCTAGAGCCACCATTGCCGGTGCCAAACCCACATGAACTCACTCCAGCATGCACAGAATACCTCTTAGAGGGGGACCAGGGGCGTGGGTGGGTACTGGGATGCAAATGAAACTGAGGTGGAGGGCAAGAGGATCTTAGGCACTGAACTAAATGATTCCATGATGCTTTTCTCTCCACATCAGAGTGGGGGTCACCCCCACCAGCCTACTTGGATTCCCATAAGGAAAAGGGGGTTAAAATAAATGAGGAATGGGGGTCCATTATACAACTATCTGGGTTCCCCAAGAATCTTCCATATGGAGTTTATTAGTAGAATACTGCAGATAACTCTGGGAGAAGGGGGTCCACTCTTGCCCCACCCATGCCCCAGATACTCAGCACTGGACTGGCTACACATCTGATGGCTCCCCCATCAGATCTGGGGAGGTGGTGACATTTCTGGGGCAGCTGAGGGGCAGGGTTGGAGTCCCATGGAGTAAGCCTGTGAGGTAAGCCTGTGAGTATGTGAAGCTCTATCTCCTCCCTGACCAGCCTCATTGTTGCCAGTGAAACCTGTTAAGACCCTCAAGCTCACCCAATGCTCACAGTCCCTCCAGAGCAGAGCCAAAGGTGACCCCCTGGGGAGCCCAAGACTGACAGCACCCCTCCTGGCTAGCCCTGCTCCTCACCGTTTCCTGGTGAGAGCTCAGCCTGGCCACCCAGCCTGCAACACCCCCCTCCCAGCATCCTCTGCAGGGTTCCCAGGGACCTCCCATCCTGCCTGCTAAGGCCCCTCCCCTCCCCCTTCCTGCTTCTTTCCCCTCCAAACCTGGCTCTACAGTGGCTGCACAGTACCTCCCAGGAGTAATGGCTCCATGTGGAGGGTGTTTTTTCAGTGAGGACCCCAGGTAGGGACTGATCAGGTGGAGATCAGGCAGAAACCAGCCCATAAGGACCTGAGGTAGGGATCCCAAGTAAAAGGACAGGGCCCTGCAGAGGCCGGCTCTGAGGACACAGCCACGGGGGCACAGCCTTGCTTTCTAGACTAAGGCAGAGTACTGCCATGCCTTGCAGAACAGTGCCAGCTGCCCAGCTGATCTGTGGATGCTGAGAAAGCTGGGTCATAGAGAAGTGCTTCTTCTGTGACTCGGTTTCCTCATCCCTCTCAGTAGGTTGTGGTGAGAAGTACTGGAGAATAGTATAACCATAGGCGTGGTCCAGGCTATATGCCAGAGATACTTAGTTCAGTGAGAGGAGGTTAGAGGGAGCTTGAGTGTGGGACAGGACCAGCATGGAGGGGCTGGCTGGGCCTCAGGCCCCGTCATTCCCTGCTACATCCTCCCTGACGCTGCCCCCTTTGGCAATAGCAAGACAGGGGCACTGTGGGCAGAGGGCTGGGCCTCCCCTCCTGGGACATGGTTCCAAGCTTTCTGCTGGCCTGGGGTGGGACTGCACCAGCCCTCTATTGCTGACAGTGTGATTAGAGCAGAACACACCCCTGTATCATCCTTGCCCCTAGCCTCCCACCCAGGCCCATGTGGGTGACGGCCCCTGGTGATGCACTCCTGCAGCTGCCAGCATTTATTCAGGCGCACAAGCACTCTGCCTTCAAGAGGGATGCACGTCTCCCTCACTGTCCCCTTGTGAATGGGTGGGCCTCCAGTGGCGTCTCAAGCATGGTTATTTAGGAACGATCTGTCCTCCTTTGGGTCACCTACAGGGGCAGCCAGGAGAGCAGAGGGCAGATGACAGCGGCGGCAGGGAATTTCAGCCCCTTCAGTTCACATGGTGTAGACAGCATAGACGGTGAGCAGCAGACAGGAGGTCTATGGGACAGTTCTGACCCTGGACCTGGCCTCCGATCCTCTGTCTGCCTCTGAGAGCCAGGACTCCCAAAGCCCTGCTGAGACAGGGTTATCTTAGTCTCCTTAAACTTGCTCTGCCATACAGGTAGAAGCACACTTTCCTGATGTGGTCCTGGAGGGAAGCTGCCCTCTCCGGGCCTCAGTTTCTTCTTCTCTGGAGTGGAGAGACTCTCCAAAGCCAAGTTCCTGGTGATTGTAGGCCTCTCGGTGATCCAGCACCCTCCTCACTAGGAGGTGACCTTTGACAATTCTCCCAGGTGCACAGTGACTCCATTTAGTGGCCACAGGGCTGGGAGACACAGTCAAGACAGCTTACAGGGTTCCTGGGCCCTGGAGTTAAGGGCCCCCAGAGTTGGCTTGGGCCAGATCCCCGGGGGAAGCAATGCCCAGGGCCTCCAACCACTGCTGCTGCAGATCTGCAGATGAAGCTCTCAGGTACCAGGACTGCTGGGACTGCTGCAGCCTCCACACATGTCCTGCATCCAGCCTCTCCTTGGGGTCTGGCAGGCTCACCTTGCAGCCTGAGAGCGGGATGGTGCAGGGCGGCTGGTTGTCCTGCACAAAGGAGAGGGGGATCAGTGCTCTGGGCCCTGATGTCCTCGCATTGCTGAAAACTCCCCTACGGGTGGGCAACAGAGGGCTGATTCTGGGCAACCAGGGAAATAGAGGCTCAGGGTCACTGGAGGAACCTTTCAACCAGGATGGGTCCCAGCGTAAGGCCCATGCCCCTCTGGTACTACAGGTCGTAGGCTCTGAGCTTTAGGAATGGGGGGACCCCCCTATAAGTGCCTAGAAAATGGGGTTCACACCTGGTTTCCTTCCTGCAGGCACAGCACAAGTTCCAGGCGCTCCACTGTGGGAATGGTGGCCCACACCTCACTCCAGGTCACTCCGTCATCTGACACTTGCAGGGGGCCACAGAGCAGGTTGGGTTGGGAGTCTTCAGTGGCTGGCCTCTGCAGACACAAAGGATAGATCAGCGGCAGTCTCATGGGGGAGCCCAGTGGGCCATTCAGGGGACCTAGCGAGAGGGAGAGATCAACTGGACAAAGACCTAGCCAGTCTGATCCTCAGGGTCACTGCAGGACCACTTGTTATCAGCTGTGTGTGTGTGTAATTGTGATGTTGTGTGTGTGTGAGGGTATACATGTGACACCTGGATCTTAGCCTCTGGAAGAGAATAAACTCCTGCTGTTTACATGGCCTAGTCTGTAGTATTTGTTATAAAGCCCAGGCTGACTAATCAGTAATACTAGCCTGCAAAACTGTGGTAGAAAACAAATATTGGATTTGGTCATACAAATGACAAAATATATACACCTCCATATTTGTCTTTGACAATAGTTGAAGTTGACTAATAACTTCCAAAATGCTTAGAATGTTCTAGGTGTCTCTTGTTATGTTGCTGAGGTGAACTTTAGAAGTTCCTGAGTATAGGGGCTGGTTGTCGTGTGAACCAACCATGTGAACAGAGATTTGAAACTTCTAATCCTACTCCCCTGATCTGGGGAGGGGAGAGGGGCTGGCATTGGAATCACTAGCTAAGACCAAGTGTCTTAGTGCATAGTGTTTAGTAGGCTACCTAATGAAGTTTCTACGAAAATCCAAATAAAAGGATTTCAAAGAGCTTGGAGAACACGTGGAGATTTGGGGAGAGAGAACATGGAGACTCCTGCTTTTCCTCCATACCTGTCTTATGTCTCTGTTCTCTCTGATATTCCTGAGCGATACCCCTGGTAATAAACCAATATTCTAGTGGCCAACTGTCTTTTGAATTCTGTGAGCCACACTAATAGATTAATTGAATCTAAGGAGGGGTTATTGTGACCTCCAATCTGTAGCCAGTTGGTCAGAAACACAGGCCAACAGCTTGGGCTTGCAATGGGAGTTCACAGTGGGAGAGGGGTGCAGTTTGGGAGACTGAGCCCTTTACCTGTGGCTCACAGATAATGCCAGAACTGGGTTGAATGCTCAGTCACCTGCTGGTATCTGAGCACTACTGGGCTTTTTGTTGTGATAAAATCTCAACACACGCCTACATTGAAATTATGTCCAGGAATCAATTCACCATCTAGTTTCTGAGTGCAAATGGTTCCCAAGCCTTTGGCTGTGACCAACTAAACACATGTGCCATTTGGTATTCAGCTGCCAGCTGCCACCAGGGCCATACCCCACCCCCTACCCCACCCCCAATTTCCCCTTAGTCATCCTGGTCTCAGGGAAGCTGATGACTCTGGAAACAGTCTGCTCGGGCTGACTCAGGGACTTCAGTGATGCTCATAGGACTCAGCCACCCACCTCAGTCCTCTGCTTTGGGTCTGTGGACTCTTCAGGGCTGGGACTTGCAGAAGCCGCTGACTGGATGAGAAAGCACTCTCGGCAGACTCGGCTCTGCCTGCCGAGCTCAGCCTTGAACTCAGAGCATTTCCCACAAATGACCTGTAAGGCAGGAGGCACCTGTGACCCACAGAAGACTGGTCAAGAAGGACTAGAAATGCTGCAGGGGATAGAGTCAGACACACTATGCGGGAAAGCGGTGCTGCTCTGTGCTCAGAAGGCAGAGAGCCCAGTGCTGGCCCCATGAAGTCTGGCACTTGCTTCCTTGCCTGAAGGATCCAGGATCCAGGGGTCTACATGATGAGAAAACACTCAACATCACTAGTTATCAGGGACATGCAAAGGCTGAAGGCACCTCACACCCATTCTGGTGGCCTGCTCCAAAATAGGAAGTGTTGGTGAGGATGTGGAGATAGTGAAACCCGCGAGGTGTTGGTATGAATGCAAAATGCTACAGTTGCTGTGGAAAACAGATGGCACTTCCTCAAAAACCTGAAAGTAGAATTAGCCTGTTATTCAGTAATTTCTATGATTTCTATTTACCCAATTTCACAGGAAAATTGAATTAGCTCATGATTCAGCAAATTCAGCAATTCTGGGTATATACCCAGGAGAATTCAAAGCAGAGGTTGAAAAGTATACTTGCACAACCATGTTCTTAACAACATTATTATAAATAGCTTAAAGTGGGAGCAACCAACAGAATATTATTCAGATGACAGAGTGGGGTGAGCGGATGGATAGGTGGGTGGGATGAATGGAGGGGTGGCTAGAAGGAAGGATAGATGGGGAATGGATGGATGGATGAATAAAGAGATGGAGATGGGTGAATGAGTGGGGAGATGGGTGGATGGATGGACGGAGGATGGATGGACAGACTGACATCTTTGGAGGCCTCGGTTTTATGGCTTGTTTTTGTTTGTGGGGTTTTTTTTTGGAGGGGGTCAGTTTTCTCCTTTTCTTTTATTATTTCCTGGGTGAGGAGGTAGGAAAGTTAGGAAACTGAGGCAATGAAGATCAAACTAGCACAGCAGCCTGCTGTGGAGAGTCACCCACCAAAGTGCCAATCTCCATGGCTAGTGGTGAACACAGGTTGGCTGAGAGGACTCTGACTTTAGGGAAGACTAACAAAGACTAGTGCTTCTGATCTCAAATAATCATATAACTAATGTCTGGAGTCAAGCAAGGCAGAGGCACACATCTTGGGCAGTTCTTAAAATTTCTACACAAGTCTAGTCAGGATTGAGTTATATCTCTCAATCCTGGGGAGTGCAAACTGTACCTCAAATTCAAATTTTTGAGGGTATGAGACTAACTTACCCATCTGTCTACAATCTAATTCTCCATCTACCCTCACCCCCCACTCATCCACTTACCCACCTATCCAGCCTCTACACACCCATCCATTCACTCTATCTGTCCATCATCCATTCATTCTACCAACCAGCCAGCCATTCATTTTAGTGCTCATCCATTAATTCCACCCTGGTCACAAGTTTTATGCAAAGATGTGACAAGAACATCGATCCCAGCATGGGATGCCAGTGGCCTTGCAAAAGTAGCTCTGGGCAGCTCTATGCTAATACTCATTTGCTAACATAGATTTAGTTTAAACAATTTATTCCAAGAATACTTGAGCAGTTATATTAGATATTAGAATACTTGAGCAGAATACATTAGCAGTCCTTTCCTCAGAGACACCTCTTCCAATATTACACTAAAACAAAACAAAACAAAACAAAAACACCCTGAAAAGAAGGACTTTGGGGATTGAGTGAAGAGGAACGGAGAGGGCTTGTTGCCTTAACCTGCAACACCACTGGAGGGCTTAGACCTAGGTGGCAAGGAGGTTCATCCAGAGCTGCACATTGCTCTGTCCCCTTCACCTCCAGCATGAGGTCGCTCTCATTCCTGTTCTCAAGTTACCCAGTCACTATGGGCACTGTAGCCCCAAAAGTCTTCCTTGGACACCAGAGCTGAGAGGAGAAATAAGATTAGTTTGCACTTCAGTTGGGCTAGTTCAGTCCGCTCTGGGTGCCTCTTTGTCATTCCAGAGACACTATCGATGCACGCTCCGCAGGGCCAGTGTGTATTTCAAAGTTGCCCAGTATAGCCCTCCCTCCCCAACTCACCACCCCACACAGCTTGCAGCGGTGCCTCCTCTTGGTGATGGAGTTGAACGTCTCCCCACAGCTCCTGCAGACTTGCTTCTCCTTGTCACGTCTAATCTTAGAGGACCCTTTCCTGGGCTCAAGCTGTGGGAGGAAAGGGCTGTAGTCATCTCTGAGCATGCATGGAGGAGGAGGTGTGGGGCATGGGCACCAACACACAGAGAAAAAAGTGCCATGGAAAGATGCAAATGAGCTGGGCATGGCCTCCACCCCACCCACACTCTAGCCCCTGGAGAGTTTTGGTGGGTACAGAACTCTATTCTGGAATGAATAAGTTCTATTCTGAGGCCAGTGTATTCACCTGGTGTGACATTCCCCCTTGTGGGGGGAATGTGAGTCCAGAGCCCAGCTCTGGGTAGGCCTGTGAAAAATAATGTGATTTTTGCAGAATGCGGAGACTTGGATTCTGCAAGTCCCCCTTGCAAAACTTCCTGGTCTGGGTTTAGTGTCTCTTAAGAAAGGCTTGCAGGAACTGTGTGTCTGAAGACACCGGGGCTGCAGAAATCAGACCATCATACCCAAATGGGTTTTCTCTTCTGCAATTGTGCTAAGAAAAACTTACATCCGGTATTGTAGCTGAAGTCACTCTTTCTGGTGCCAGAATTAACACTCACTATGGGGTGCCTTCCTCAAATGTGCATGAGCATAGCTAGGGCTCATGGGTAAAGGGACAGGGAAGCTGGGGGGCACCAGGTGTCCCCAAGGAATGGGGGTAGACAGAAGCTACCTGAACTTGGATTGTAACCCTGAGCACCCCAAGGAAGACTGAGCCCTAGGACAAAAGAAGGAGTTCCGGGCAACCTGAGTGTCTACCCAGTGAAAAAGGACATCACCAACCTGCAGGTCTGCTGACCACAGCCCGACCTGGAGGTACCTCCAGACTTGGCTGAGACTTGAGACTTGAGGATTCTCAGTTACCTCCTTACCTGTTAAAGGATGCCCACCCTCATGGCAGGCACACACCCCAGTTTCTCTCTCATCCCACCCATGATGGTTTGGGGTCAAGGGATGGGACTTAGCCCAGCCCAGAGGCAGGGCCTCATCCTGGCAGGGTGGACTGTGGACACAGCTGCCTGGGCTCCAGTCAGGTGCCCACGGTGTCCTGAGGCAGAGGGAGGGGAGCAGATGCCAGTGAGGGTCTCTGGTACAGCCACCTCCCTGGGTCCTGGTGAGACTCTCCCAGTCTGAAAGATGGTCAAATGCCTCCTCTAAGAAACTTTCTTTGAAACACCCCTGCAGGTCCACCTGACAGGATGTGGTCCCTGCCTGGTCCTTGTCCTGGTGCGGCCTTGTCCCTTTGATAACAGAGCTTCCAAGAACACCAGCTGAATTTAGTTTTATCCAGACATACTCACTTGAAATGGAAGCACAGCACCATCCCAAAAGCATAGCTGTGTGACCTTCCCCAACCAAGCGGATGACCTCAAGCCACAGGACCTGAGATCCCACAGTCAAGACCCAGATTAACCACAGTGAGGATGGAACCATGGACTGTCACCCTCAGGTCACCTGTCTGACCTCAAGTCATCTATCTGACCTCAGATCACTCTGTCTGACTTTATCCTCACCCCTGCCCCTGAGAATAGCTAGTGGTCACTCACCCCTGCAGCACCTGCTCCACCATCGATCACCACTGCGTACTCCTCTGAGCTGGCACTCACTACCTGCAAGGACAGAGACAGCTGGCATGAATGGAAAGTGTGTAGCCACAGGCTGACGCCAATGCAGCAGTGATCAGTGAGACCCCCATTCCTTCCATCTGACCACACAGAGGAAGAAAGTCCTTCTAGGCTTAGTGTTTGCTGTGCCCTGGGGGCTCTGACCCTCCCTCCATAGCTCTGGAGTTGTCTAGAGAGCCATCATCTCTCAGAGCAGTGGGCAGGGCCTCACTGGCCACATCACACACTGTGGTTAGCCCCCCCTCAGGCTCCATGGAGACCTATGTTTCCACAGAAATTTAATGGCAGGTGTGGACACATCCAGCCAAGGCAGGAGGCAGCACTTTGGAAAGTAAAAAAAGGTGAGCAGCTGCGAGTATGTTTGATGTGAAAGTAAAGCAAAGCAGTGGCCTGGGCTGCACCTTTCAGGAGGCCAAGGGGAAACAAACAAGCTAGGGGTCTGAGACACAGGCTGCTGGGCTGGGTTGGGCTTCAAGAACAGCCCTGGGGGAAGGCAAGGCTTTCTCTGAAGTCCTGACTAGTGGTACCAGAGAGGATGTGGTTGTGTTTTACAGCAGCCCCTGAGGGGTGGATGGCTGCTGTTGACATCCTGGGTGAGAACCCTGTCTTCTAGCTTTCCCCAAGCATGGGGAGTCCCAGAGTTGGTTAATAAAGATGTTAGCTGTATCACCAGACAGGGAACCCTCCCATGAGCCCCGGGTATCAGCACTCACAGGAGTGTCTGGGGTGAGAGTAGGGTCCTCCTCCTGGCCCAGGGAGCAGCCAAAGGCCTTGAAAGTCTGGCTGTTCTGCTTATGCTTCTCAATGGTGGCTTCAATAACCTGAAAGGAACCCCAAAAGAACACGTCTCAGAGGTCAGAGGTCCAGGAAATCAGGCTGCTAATCCAGCAGGACAGGTGCGTGGCCTCTATATCTTCCCTTAACCAATGGCCTCACACAGGTTGTCTGTACCAACAAGGTCTCCAGTCCCAGCACCACTGTCCTGCTCCACACCCCCGTCTGCTTCAGTGCCACAGGACACTTTCTGTGAAGAAGCTGTATCGGGTTCAAGGTCACATTTCCATTTCCTGTATTACCAACTCTATTGAATTTCCATTGTCTTCTTTTCTCACCCAGATTCTAAGAATTCTGGAAGCCACATGTACTTAATGGCTAGTTTTGGCTTTTGCTATACTTTGTGAAGCTCCACTATCCCGGGGCCTGAGGTTCCTCTCTATCTTGGCCCTTCTGACCTTTGCCCTGCAGCTTATAGCCTCTGTCCCCTCATCTCCATCATGGCCCATCCTGAGCCAAGTCCACTGTGGCTGTTCAGGACCCTGTCCATCTCTCTGCCTGGCCATCTGGAAGCATAGGCTCCATCCTGGAAATCAGTTTGCTCATCCAGCATGACCTGCCTCTCCTGTCACCATGGAGAAAGGATGACGTCCATGGAAATCTTCCCCTGAGCAGCTTCCTGCCTGCCACCCTCCAGGCCATGTCTCTTTGTAATTTTACTGGGGCCCCCAAAAAGTGACTGGGCTGAAAGGCTCATGACATCTGAAGGTGCTATAATACAGTCACCCAATCTCTTCAAAGCAGGCAGATAATGTGGGCACTGTGCAGGGGCATGGGCTACCCATTGCTATGCCAACTCAAAATGGCCAGAATGCTGAGAATTTGGTCACTTAGTTACTTAAACACTTTAGGAGCGTCACCTGAATCCAGTCTTTCTTCTCCTCTTCCGTCCTACAAAAACAAAAGCACTATTTCATTAAACAGGTCTTGGATACCAATAAACCAGACTCCTCTCTGTCCTGCAGCACATGCCTGAGCTGCTCACAGCTTCAAAATGCAGCTCAAGGTTTAGGAGATTGGCCCCAAGGAATATGGAATGCTGTGGCCAGTGTGGCCAGGTGTGGTCAGGTGTGACCAGGTATGGTGAGGTGTGGCCAGATGTGGTGTGCACAGTCCTCTGTAGTGAGTGTAAATTAACACCTTCCTGGACCACAATGAACTATCACAAAGATCTCAGATCATTAGCAAATGTGAGACCAGCTGTCCCAATCCGAACACTGTCTGACACAGTAGTGTGACTATAGCCACCAACACGTATAGTGGATGAGCTGGCTTTGGCCAGCATTCAATTTCAGGAACTCATCTTCAGATATAATGAAAAACACAAAACCCTGTGGGGACACCACTTCGCATCACCTGCAGTAGTAACTTGGAGGAAACCTGGAGGACCGTGGAGGAAATAGTCAGTGATCACAATGGAGAATTAGGTTGCTTAGGAAATGAGGTTGGGCTATGGGGAGATCTGATAACATGAGTGAAAAAGCAAGACACTAAAGGATTTATGTAGTTGGCAGTCATCTGTGACTTTAAAAAATAGATGCATATGTCTGAGCACAGAAATTCTGGAAGGAGAACTAAGAGGTGGTTAAGAAGATCTACTGTGGGTGGGGAGCAGGAGACAGAAGCCTAATTTTCACTGACTTTCCCTTATACTTATAAGCCACAAATAAGTATATAAAGTGAATAAAAAAACACATAACCAGGTTGCCCAGGTTACAGAAAGTCCTCTGCTACTGTGGGTCAGAGACAGGCACACAGCAGCAGGGGACAGCAGGGGACAGGGACAGCACGGGTACCGAGTCTGTAGCTCCAGGGACCTCTTCTTTCCCGTTATGACAAATGTGTGGGCTGCGTTGCGCTTGACCATGTCCTGCACCTAAAGCACATTGACCAAGAACAAACCAAACAGCCAGTCACTTAGCACGTCCTGAAATTGTGGGTTCTGAGGAGGGACAGAGGTGACTTTGTGACTCTACGTGAGCTGGTCCACAATAGGGCAGACCACAGTGCCACTGGGCAGGGCCAGCACCCCACATCCCTGTGGTTGAGACTGGGAAGCTGCTAACCCCTGCACAGCTAAATCTTGTCCACCAAGGTCCCCCCCACATGCACACACATGCCCCACACAGAGGGATAGAAATTCTTGGAGAAGAATTGGAGGGTCTCTACTGCATGAGGCACTTCTGACCCCCAAAGGGCAAAAACCTGGGAGCCCTCCCCTCTAGCCATTACATTAGGATCCAGAGGCCCCACCCCTAAGGTCCTAGGATGGAAGCTCCCTTCCCCCATTGCCAGAGGCGGGGCTCTATGACTGGGTCACACACCACTCCCCAGGATTCACGCGGTGGGGCCATTTCTTTATGAACCCCACCCACCATGTCACTGGAGGGGTCACAAGCTCACAGCAGGTAGGGGGGTCCCAAGCCAGTGCTGTGAAGGTGTTCTGGAGACAGGGGCCTAGATCCTGCCCAGAACTCTGGTAGGACTTTCTAGATGCTCCAAGGTCAAGGTCAGATTTCTTACACTAGAAAAAATGATTTTTTTCTAACTATGAGAAAAGGTCATCTTTTTCCAGTTCACCCACCTGGAGCCCCGCAATGTCCATCTTCTCTCGGACACTGAACTTCTGACCCATAAGCCGCAGTTTGGGTACACAGTAAAGAATCATGCTATTGAACTGCAATAGAAGGGCACTGGATGAGGGCAAAAGCACAGAGAAGACACCCAGGGAGGGGGGTGCTCCAGGGAAGAGTTTACCAGGAAGTAGGAGAGGTTAGAAGGGACTTAGCCTTGCAGCTGGGTGGGACAAGGCAGGAGAGTGGTTGTGTGGTGGGGGGGAGGGGTTGTGGCTCTGAGGCTGCAGGTGGGGAGGGGGCGGGGGGGGCAGTGCTCACCAGAAAGAGGTGACGGTCCTGGGCAGTGCCGTTCTTGGCCGACAGCTTCAGGATGTGGCCCTCCTTGATCAGCTCATTGGCAGGATTGACAATGTCCTCCTCTCCTCCCAGTCGCTCATACACCTCCAAGAGCTTGTGCATTTTCTCCTGTGAGAGACACAGAACTCAGGCAGCTGCAAGGCCACAAGGACCGTGGGCCTGCAGGGCTGCTGGGGACCCAGAGAGGAGCCATGCCCACAGCAACAGGCAGCCATGATGGAGAAACGAGCCCGCTGACAGTGAGAGAGCAGAAGGGAACACATGGGGACAGACACGTTGGGTATTGAAGGGTAAATAGAAGTTCACTATGCAGAGAATAATAAATGATAAAATAACACAGCTGCTCCGTGCCAGGCAGCATTCCACACACAAGGGGGGTCTGAACCCATCTACTTTCAGCACGCACTCTATGGGGTGGGCACCATTACTCTCTTCAATTTATAGACAAGGAAATGGAGGCACAAAAAAGACAAGTGAGTCACTGGACATGTTTCAGCCAGAGAACTGGAACGGCCCTCTGAGTTTCTACACTGCATGCTGGCCCCTTCTACGGGAAGGCAGTAAAACTCTTAGGTTGGGATCTCTTGTCTGCCATCTGCAGCTTTTGCCCTGCTCATTTCTCCCCTCTGCCTGGTTTCCTGCTCGACCTGAAAGCTATGTAACTCAGGACCATCCTGAAACCAGACAATCCGAAGGCCATCTCCCCCTGGCCTCCTGGCTGGCTGGGTGGTCATGTGGCCCACCACTGCCCTGGGTATGCTGGGAGAGGGTCCAGCTGCGAGCCGACACACTGCTCGCTCTGTGCTGTCTCTGACACCAGCAGAGGCCTGGTCATGGGTGAGTACAGAAAAGGCAGATTCGGCCTCCACCAGTGATCGAGGGGGGAGCCTGGACCCACCAGGCCACAGCCACCGCTGTCCTCAGATTTGAGAGAGCTCAGCCTGCACATCCGGGAAGAAGGCCAGTTTGGCTGACCCTACAGTTGGTGACGCAAATGCAGGTGGATGTAGGGAAAAGAGGAGTCAGATGGAGATCACGGAGCAGGCAGGGCAGAGCTGAAGAATCATAGGTATGGGGGTGGGTGTGTACTGGGGTAGGTGTATACCTGGCTTGGAGGGTGAACCGAGTATGCCTGGACCACAGCTAGCTGGGAGGGCTCTGAACAGGAAGTGACAACCTAGATCTAGACCTGATCTAGAGAACGGTGGCCAGAGCTAGGAGAATGAGGTTGGGGGGCAGGGAAGGCTGGGTGGAATTCTAGGCTGAGGGGGCTGTGGACCGGTGACCCCAGATTGTGGCTCTGCTGCCTGTTCTCCATGGTTTTATGTAGTGGCTCCTGGTGGGGATGGTTAAGCTCCCTGTCTGTGGTATATCGTCATAGCAGAAAGAGTTTAAGAAAGAATGAGTGAATGAGCGAGTGATGGTAATTTGAGAGCTAACACCACACTGGGTCCTGTTCTGAGAGTAATTCTGATGAACCATTTAATCTTCACTGCGGCCCAGTGAAACAGGTTCTGTCAGTGATCTGTTACAGGTGGGGAAACTGAGGCAAACAGTGCTAAGTAACTTACTAACAATCACCTGTTAGTAAGTGGCAGGTCTGTCTAGCTCTCAATGAAGCCCCTGTCTGCCCTGGGGGAAGGTGGTCCCCCGCTCCCTCCCCCCAGCAGGTCCCTCAGGAGGACCCTGGAGGAGCCCTCCTCACCATTTTGCGAATGGCGGTGTTGGAGTGGTTGGCAGCTGTGGAGATGAGCTCCAGGGACCCTGCAGGAGGAGATGCAGAGTCAGGCTGCAGGCGCCTGGAGGGTCCACACAGGGCCTGGCCCCAGGGGCCCTGATGGTTCAGCCCTGCTCCTGCCCTTATCTGCACTGCTCTCAGACTTGGCATGGTGTGTGTGTAGGGTGGGGAGGGACCCTGCAGACATAACCTTTTTGCTGGGGTTGGGGTCTGCTGGGGCCAGTACCTCAACACCCTGAGCAGGACCTTGCCCTGTAACAGCTACCAGCTGCTGGTCTGGGAACAGGAGTATCCCCTGAGGCACCTAAACTTTCCAGGATCCCCTTCCCCAAGCCAGTATCTCCCCCCCCCCCCCAACACACACACTCACAGCAGTAGGGACAGGCGTCTCCAACCTTAGAGACTCTTGGTTACTCCTGAGCTGTGTCCGGGGACCTCCAGCGCTCTCTCCTTCCTCTGTCTACCTCTCTGTCTCTGCTTCTATTTCCCCATCTTCATCTCTTTTTATATGCTTGTATATAAATGTCCCGCTCTTTTTCTCTCTACCCCCGTGTGCCTCTGTCTGTCTTTCCCAGTCTTCTCCTCTCCCTCTTCCCGTGGGGTTTAGCAGGAAGTCTGCTCACATTCCCCAGGAACCCAGCTCCACTCACTCTCTGCGTCCTTCCGGTCCCGGGCGTTGGCCGGAAGCCTCTTCAGGTAGTCCTTGAGCAGCAGCTCGTAGCGAGGGACCCTCTGCACAGGCTCTAACATGTGGTGCTGCAGCGTCAGATTCCCGCACACCTCCAGCTTCTGTGGGGGGACAGATAGAGCTGGGCGCCATGGACAAGCCTGGACTCTAAGACCACCTCTGTTCTGGGGCACAGACCAACAGCGGGGGCATTCACAGACGCGCTCAGACCGCAGGCCCCACGCCTGCTCTGCCCACCACAGTCCGGCAGCTGCCCCTTGCTGACTGCAGTTCACTTTTTACAACAGGAGAAATCGAGGCTGGGAGGGGCTGAAAATTGGTGACCCACAATGGATCTGGTGCAGACTACTCTATCTCTGCCCTCACTGGAGACAATTCAGGCCTGGACAAGGACTGTGGCTTCCTTCCTGAGAGAAGTCCCCTCTCCCGCTGGAACTTGAGCGTCAGCTGAGCTTCGTGAGCTGACTGAGAGGCTGGAACTCAGCCTTGGGCCTCTCTGAGTGCCTGGGGTGGGAACTCAGCAGAGACCTTACCCTGCCCAGCACTCCTCTCAGACTCCCCATCTTCTTCTGAAACACTCCCTCTGGCCCTTCAGCGCCTCATCCAGACCCCTTTCTGACAGCCATGCTCCAGGCCACAGAGTTGGCCTCTACGCTAGTTTTCCCTGTCTTCATGGTCTCCTTCTTGAAGGTCCCTGCCTGCCTGCTACAGAACCCTTTGCCCCTGCACCTGCCTGGGAAGTCATTGCAGTCACCTTGTTGTCTCACTGGCACCTGTTTCTTCACCCACCTGCCCCCTTGCTGAGCCCAGAGCCCAGAACAGGAGGCTTCATCTCAGAGGAGTCTAAGTGCCTTGTACACAACATGGCTGGAAGCCCGAATCTGCAACCATTGTAAAGTCATCTAATTTCCGGTGAGAATCATCAAGGGATAAGGAGAAGCAGGATATTTACAAGAAACTATAATATTTTATAGAGTGGGAAGGTAAAATAACTTAGCCACAGGGAAGCTGGACAAATGTCCCACATCAAGTGAGCCTCTCTAGAAATAGGACAAAGGACAGTTGTATACCCCAGGCAAGACATGGTGAACACACAGCCTCACTCTTGTGACATTCCTGCATAGATTCACAACCTGGTCCCAGCCGTGGGGAAACTGAGGATAAACCAAGTGGAAAGATAATGGACTAGAAACTGGCTGCCTAGTTAGAAGGCACAGGGCACAGGGGTGCAAAGGAGATGGACTTGACAATGGACACAACACATATCTTGGGTTGCTCTGGACCAGGAAATAAAATAGTACTGGGACAACTGGTGGACTTTTTCACCCGAGGGCTGTGGATTGACAACGCCATTGCTTCAGCGTCACATGTTCTGAAGCCTCTGATGGCTTGCTGTAATGACGCAGAGAACATCCTGGTTCCCTCTAAGCATATAGGGTTACGACATGTGCAACTTAGTCTCAAAAGTTTCAAAAACAACAACTGTGTGTGTTTGGAGAAAATGATTAAATAAACAAGAAAAAATGTTAACAGTTCCCTGCTTTTGCAACTTTCTTATAAACACTGGAAACCACTCCAAATACACTTCAAAAAAATTTTAAGTATGCTTTGGATTAAATCAAGGCAACCTCCAAAGACAAGGGGAACCCTGAGTTGTCACGCAATCTCCAGGTTGTTTATGCCGGGGTTTCTCAGCTCTGTGGACATTGGGTACTGCCAATAACACAGACGAGGGAGGGGTGCCTGAATGTAGGCCATGTCCACACTGTTGGCACAGAGGGCTCAGTGCCCGCCAAGCCCATTAGGGGAACAGTGAAGAATGTGTGTGCCTGTGTGTAGATTCGTATGCATTGTGTGTACACATGTGTGGTGTTTTCTGTATACACGTGTGTGGAGGTGGGCAGTGATACCATAACCTATCTGGAAACTACTCTGGGATAACATCTAAAATTTTTAAAGTAAAGTCATAACATTAGAAGAAGCATAAATTTTATAAATCGGGGCTGGAGTTATGAATACATTTATATGCATTAATTTAAAGATTTTTACAGCTTTACTTTATTAAAAAATCATTGAATGTGATACCTTGGAATTAATCTAACTAAGGAGGTAAAGGACCTATACAATCAGAACAAGCTCTGATTAAAGGACTTTGTGATAGAAGGATATGGGAGCACATCCTATGCTCACAGAAGGGGAGGATCAATATAATCAAAATGACTATCCTGCCTGAAGTGATGTATACATTTAGCACAATGCGCATTGAAATACCAACAATATGTTTTCAAAGAAATTCAATGTAGAAAAATGAAATGTATATAGATCTATAAAAGCCCTCAAATAGCAAAAGCAATCCTGAGCAAAGAATGAAAACATCATGCTACCTGATTTTAAGCTTTACTATAAAGCATCGGTATTAAAGGCAATATGGTATTGCCATTAAAAAACAGACACATAGATCAATGGAACAGAAGTAAAAGCCCAGAGATAAATCTATGTATGGAGCAGACCTAATTTACAATAAAGGAGCATGAGCAAGCAACCCGGAAAGTGAATAGTGCTGGGGAAACTGGACACCACACAGAGACATGAAGTAGGCTCATTAATTCCACATCCAAAAATAAATTGGAAGTGGATTAAAGATTGAGATACAAGGCCTATGATAATAAAATATACAGACAAAAGCATTGGTGGTACTACAGCTGAGGTTAAATGGTTAATTTGCTTTTATTGCATAGACACATCTCCAGGAAAGGGGAGGAGAATAGCAGTACAGGCATTTTCCCTGCCCCCACTTAAAATTAGTTGCCTTGGACTACAATTCCCAGCATGCCACCCTGAAAGGAGAGGGGTCAGCTGGGAAGAAGGGAGGTAAATAAGTAAATTGAAGTGGAATGAAGGAGAGAAAACCAAATGGAGGAGAGAGGTGTGGGTGAGACACATGCGGGCAGGCTGTTCCTGGTCCCAGCAGAGGTAAGGACAGCAGTTATCTTGACCTCGTGGTGGATCACATGGTTCATTTTCAATTTCCAGTCTTTCCTGTCCTTACTCTCTGGGATCTACCTAACCCCTTGTTACCTTAGATTGTGGCAAGCTTTTGGGCCTCAGCAGCCCTACTATGGGCAGAACTTGCTTGACTGGGCATTTGTCAACAAGAGGATGAGTTCATTTTTGGAGTTTTATTTGAAATCCTTTCTTTTCTCTTTGCACTCCAATTCTATTCACACCAATTAAAGATCTTTCACACTAAGAGTCTTCTTTCTTTTGCCTTAGAATGTGCCTATGTCCCTTAACAATTTGGGGTTTGTGGGTGCTCCTTGGCTGTACAATTATACTTTCAAGCTCTAAAGAGCACAAAAGCAAAAAAAGGCATCTAAAAAATAAAAATAAAGGGAAAAGGCATCTAACTTTCCCACTGAGGCTTGTATTTACAGATACAGTAATATCAACAGCCTTGAGTGAACTCCAGGGCCACCTGGAAACTGAAAACACAAAAAAGGAACTACCCAGAGGTGGGGCACCTTAAAAAAAACTGAATCCATGGCCCTCCCTGGTGGCGCAGGGGGTTAAAGCACTGCACTAAGAAACTTAAGCCACTTCCGCATGAGTTCGATTCCTGCCTGCCCCGGAGGCGACCACATGGCGTGGCAGACCTCTCCTGATCCCGCTGATCCCCTCAGCAGTGTACTTCCTCAATCTGCCTGTTCTGCTCCTTGCTCTGTCTCTCGTGAATCCTCTCACCCTCCGCATCTCTGACCTGTACCCCAGTTCTGTATGAATAAAAAAAATAAAAAAAAACCTGAATCCCGACAGGACAGGAGTGGGAAGAGCACAAGAGATTGTGCTGATGATGCACAGGTGAACTGGTGGTGGAAATTTCTTGGGGAAACCATACATTGTATAAAATAAGGATGGTGTAATAAACATATATTTAAGAAAATAAAAGCATGAATTAAAAATTATAACTATATTAAAAAAAAGTGGTATATATACACAATGGAATATTACTCAGTGATCAAAAAAGACAAGCACATTCCTTTTGCAGCAACATGGATGGAGCTGGAAGGGATTGTGCTGAGTGAAATAAGCCAGAAAGAAAAAGAAAAACATGGTGGTTCACTCATAGCAGGAGCATAAAGGACCAGGGGTGGGGGGCGGGGAGGGGTGGGGAATGAATAACTATATATACACCAGAGACATTTTACAGGGGTGGAGTGGAGAATGGGATCAAAAATGGTAGTGGGGGTTGGGGGAGGAGTGCACTGGACTATGGTGATGGCACACAGGTGATTTGGTGATGGGAAGCCCATGGGGATTACAACTGAGATGGAAAAAGGCACAAAATGATGTAAAAATAAACTATTATCATAAAAAAATCAAAGCATAAGTAAAAAACCTTCTAGTAGTTTCAATAGGAAAATAAATTAAAAAATAAAATGTATGATTTTATATATCAAAACAAAACTGAATCCTGGTCCTGATATCAACAAGATCATTTCTAACTGGTTTGGACAGAGGGGCGCTTTACTCAGGACTTGGTCACTGTTACTGTAAAGTCTTTACTTCTTTTGATCTTTGGTCCTTGTCTTCTAAATTACTTAGTTCCCTTTGTCTCCAAAAAGGTGGAGACATTGAAACTTCCAAAGAATTATAATTCAAGCATCTAAACAATTGGGATTACCACCCTGTGACTTTACTCAAGTTAAGAAGGGAAAGACTGTTCTTCTGTGGGCCCCCAACCCTCTATACCTACTCAGCAGGAAATAGTTCCAGAAGACCTACTCCTGCCCATAGGCCCTCCAGCAGGAGGAACAAAAGGAGGGAATTGTTACCAGCCTGGGAAACAGAGGTTTCTTGCCCTTTTTGACCTTTCTGTGCTCCAGTTTATCTTTTCTATGAGACAAAGTCAGAAAAACAGCTGAAACCTAGATAAAGGTAAAAGTGAGACAAGGGTTAAGCCACAACCTGATTACCATAGTTAAAAGCATGCCCAGCCCATAACAGATCCAGTCAAGACCAAACTTATAAGGGGCCGTGAAGCAGCTGCTGGAAAGCCTTGTCTATTTCTCAGAAGTCCTGCTGTCACTGACCTTTAGCCTCGCCCCTGCCTTAGTACCCGCCCTACAGATTCTACCCCAGTAGGGGAGATGGCCTTTGTAACAGTAGTCTGCCCCGTATTCAGTTTTGCTTGCACCTCATTCAGCCTGATTTCCTTCCACAAGCTCGTGTCTCTCAAGTTTTGGCTTATAAGTGATGAGTAGGAGTAGCCAGGCTCCCCCAAAATACCTATAACAATATGTTCCATGGCATCAATGATAAAGATGATTATAAACTATTGCTTTCAAAAAAAAAATAGAGAATGGGCTAATTAAAAGTCAAAATGTGTGGAAAACCATTAAAAGGTTAAAATATAGGAGATTAATGGGGAAAGTGATTTGTAGCATGAATGACAGATGATAGGTGACATTTTCAGTATATATAACCATGTAACTCAGAAGAAAAAGACCAGCAAGCCACAGCTGTGAACAGCTTGTTTGCAAAAAAAAAGAGAAAGAGAAAAGCAACCTGTCCCTAAATTCATGCCCTGCTGATGGAGGGCGCTATGGAGTGAGAGGCAGCATTTGAATACAGGTCTCATCAAGTACCTTTGTAAAGCTATTGCCCATATTGCCATATTCCCCATATTGACCTCTTTGGCTATGATTTCCCCACCAAATCATAGTGAAATAAGAATGATGATTTATCTCTGGGAGTTATTTTAAGGATTAGAGCATCAAGAAAACATCTGGACATAATCCATAACTTTACTGATTTTCTCCATGTTCCAAATTTTCAATAAGCATATGGAAGTGAACAGAGGAACCCAGCCCAAGGCCCTGAGGTCATCACAGGCCCTACCTGGATGTCCTGGACAGTGTTCTTAAAAATTGGTGAGCGCTGGGTCCAGGTGCTCACCAGCTCCATGGCTTTGTCAAAGTTCTTCATGTATTCCCCATACATTTTGAGGAATGGGGCCAGCTTCTGCAGGATGTCCCCAAGTCGGGGATTTGTGTCCCTGTGTGAGGGATGAGACCAAGAGAAATGGCTTGGATGAGTACAGGGCCTACCTCAGGGGCCACATAGCTGGACAAATTGGTCACCAACCCTGAGTCCTCTCCCCTGTCAGGTGGGTGGAAAATACCTGAGGGAAGTGAGAGGGCTGTGGAAAGCAGCACAAAACTGTTGCTCACAATCAGTTAGTCTCAGTGCACCAGTCTGAGGATGGGCCACGTGATCAAAGAGAATCAAGGAAACCCTGTTTACTTCTTTTTCATGAGTAAGATTAGGGACAATGGGAATTTCCAAAACTGGTGACCTCGTGGGAAAACTCACTGTATAATGCTGACAATGGTTTAAAAGGAAGTTTCAAGAAAACTGAAAATATGTTAATAATCTTTGACCTTAGAACTTTTGGGGATTTATGTTAAATAATTGAAAAGAAGGAGGAGGGGTAAGAACAGTGAGTCATTTACTGCAGTGTTACTGTGTAAGGACGCCCAGCTTTGAACTCAAAGGGCCCCACCTGTGAAGGCAGCGGCAGATGGCTGGACTCCTGCACAGGATATACATGGAGATGTGTAGTGTCGTGTGCAGTCTTTCCAGGGTCTCAGGGTTCCTGGGAACCTGTGTTTAGCACATGTGGGCTATGTCCGCCAGAAGGCCAACTGGCCTGAACTTTAACTCAGTGGTCTTGGGGGCATGGTATAACCTGCTCAGTAAGTGGAGTGGATCCTTCTAAAGATTTACAAATCAACTGGATCCCTCAATGAGCCTTGCAGAGGAAGAGATGCCCCACTCCCAGGTGCTCTTGCAGACTCCAGGACACAGGAGACCCTCGCACTGCCTCAAGCCAGGTCAGTGAAGGAGGCAGGAGGCAGAGATCCCAAAGCAGAACTGCAGGAGCCTCTGTAATACGCAGAACGGTAAGTTGGGGCCTACTGTTGTTTTATTATTGTGACTCACAACTAAGTTCTCCATCTGCTAAGAATGAACAGAAGTGGCAGAGGGACAGGAAAAGTCCACAGGGGCAAGAATCCAAGGCACACTGTTCAAGAGGTAAATCTTGGTCTTTGAAGCAAAGGTGGAATGTACCCTAAGAGGGAAAATAAGCTGACGATCTCTGTCAATTTGGGGTTTGAGCATTAAAGTTCCTTTCACTTGCAGATGAAGAAGCTAAAGCTTGACACCACTAAGAAGATACAGGAGTTTGCCCCAAGACAAGGCGGGTCCTGACACCATGAAATTGGGCCTCTATGGGCCTGCCTGGCTGGAAGGCAAGTGAACCCCAGATTTAGAGATCTTTGGCAGGGGGAATTCAACTGAACTGCTCGCTGTTACAGAACCACGTGAACCAACAACACTATGGAGGCCACCTGGCCCACCCCAGAGGTGTCAGTTTCCCACATCTTGGGTGCCACGAGCCTTACTCACCACTCCTGTGTGATGCGTTTCTGCAGCTCAGGCAAGAGGAACTGCCCGTGGAAACGATAGATGGAGGAGATGTTAGAGAAGATGCCAGTGATGACTTCTTGAGGGATCCCCACTTTTGTCAGCTTCGTGCAGAAAACCTGGGCACAGAGGAGCCCACATAATAGCCATGGTAAGTGGTTTCCATAGTGTCTCTGCTGCAGTGCAGGGGTTCAGTGTGGGAGACACCACGGCCACCTCTTGTTTTCTTATTTCCTCAAACTGTCTCCAACAACCTCAAGGCCTTAAATTGGCTAAGGACTGGGATACGGCAGGGAGTGTGCCCTGTGGACAGGAACAGGCATTTCCTCCACCTACTGTCATGGGAAATTCAGTTCCCACTTCTTTTCTTTGTATGTGAGTTACAAACAGCAGCAGCATCATCAAAACCCTCGTTCCATCAGAGCCTTCTTCCTATGCTCATAAGCCCCATGTTGCCACATAGAAGAGATGAGTATCCCTCCCCACATCTTGGCTGTTGAGGCAGAAAGATGTTCAGAGGCCATTTTTATGCCAGATAATGTGCTTGCCAAGAAGAAGGGACCCAGAATAACCAGATAAGACCTTAGTCTAAAGCCATCATTTTGAAAGCAAAAAGTATGTTTCTGGAGGATATTTAAATTTACCTGAGCTTTAGTATTTAAATTATTCACAATACAACTAGAAGGCTTAGTCAATGCTAAGAGATAAGGCTATTACCTGTGAAACAGCCTGCTAAAGCTCTGGAGTGGACATAGGTAGGATCTGGGTCATGTGGTACCTGATCCAGCAGGTGCAGCCGCTTCACATAGGTCTCCTCAGTGTTCAGGAGCTCCTGGGCAATGTGGAGCAGCTTCTGGGGCTCAGGGCACTGCAGAGAGAGGCGACACAGCTCATCTGGGGAAGATGAATATCAGGGAGGTAGATCTGACAGGACTAGTCTCTGTGTCAGGAATGACCAGGGGGGTAAGGGATAAAGGATGCTAGTGGAATTGGGAGATAGGGGGCTCATTTCTCACAGGTGGACTTTTCAGGAGGCTTCTAGGAAAGTCATAGTTCCCACCAATCCTCTAGAAGGTTTCTGCAGCCAAAGATAACTCTACCCTCTTATGGTTTTAACTGTGGAGGAACTGCAAGAGTGACATTAAAATACACTGCTGAGTGATGTCAGCGAGACGGCAGATTGGGAAGTGAGATACTCTCCTTCCCCCACAGAGAGATGGAGATAACAGTAATCTTTGGCCAGACCACCTCAATGAAAAAACTCACTTAAGAAACTACAGTCCCCAAACCATTGTAAAACCAAGGAGTGGTTCCAGCAAAGGGGATAGCAAAATTTGGCAGCATTAGAAACGCCTTTGTTTTCTTCCTCTTACACCCATACCACAACACAACTGGAGGGGAACTGTCCATAATGGTCTGTGGCCCTCTGACAGAGTAAACAGTGTGTTTTAGTGTTTTCACTGGTCTAAAGATTGCTGAGGAACTGGTTTCAGTCTTGCCTTGGATTGCTGTGTTGGTCAGTGCCAGATATTGAAAACAGAGCTAGTGGTATATTAAGAGTTGATGTCATGCACACAGATGGCAGGGGAGCAAGAGATTAGAAAGTAAGGGATCCTAGAAATATTAGCCAGAATGACGATGGCTTCGCCCTGCACAAAGCTAGCTTGCAAAGACTATAGAGATGGATGGTTTTCAAGTGTCCAAACCTCAATATAAAATTACAAAGAAAGAGAAAAGAATGGAATCAAACAAAATCTCCAGAAACCAACCCTAAAGAAACAGGTACATGAGCTGTCTAAAAGATGCTGAATGAGGAGGAGGAGGACTTATGGGACACAAGTAAGTTGATCTCTATACACATTACATTAGCCCCAGAAGAGAAGCAAGAAAGGGTCAGAGGGGTTATTTGAGGAAATAGTGACTGAAAACTTCCCAAATCTGAGAATAGAAGTAGATACAAAATTCAGGGAGCCCAAGGAACTCCAACTTGGATAATTTTTTTTTTTAAACTACACTGAGACTCAGCATTTTTATTTTAGAAAAATGAGCGGAACAATATACTTAAAGTGTAAATAGAAAAATCTGCTAACCCAATAATCTTGTATCTGGCAAAGCCATCCTTCAAAAATGAAAAAAGTAAGCCTTTGGGAAGTTATAAGCCCCCCTTCAAAAAGATGAGCAAATCGTCACCACTAGACTGCTCCATAAGAAATCCGAAAGTCAATCATTCAAGTTATGAAAAGACTGGAAATGGCAACATGAAGCTATACAAAAATATAAAGTTCTCCAGTTAAGATGAATGCTTGGGTGAGGACAATATGTATACTATTATGGTTTTGGATATCATTAAAATGACAAAAACATTTATAAATATAAATCTTCATTAATGAGCACACACTATATAACTGTATGATAACATGAGAGGTGGAGTTATAAAAAAAGTTTTGTTTTTATGAGATTGAAGTAAATTATCAGTTTAAAGTTGAATTTTATAATGTTAAATGTTTTGTAATTGCAATGGTAAACACAAAGAAATTATTTCTAGGATATACTCAAAAGGAAATGAGAAGAGAATCAAGGCATATCACAATAAAATCTAGGAAACATCCTCCAAAACAGACCACATGTTAGGCTACAAGACAAGTATTAATAACTTCAGGAAGACTGAAACTCTAATAAAGCATCTCTTCTAATAAAACGAGAACTCAAAACACTGTAAAATTCAGATATGTGTATATTTAACAACACACTCTCCAACAACAGTTTCCTAAAGGAACTTAGAATATATCTTGAGACAAAGGAACATGAAAACACTGAATACCAAAACTTGTGGAGCTTGTTTTGCAGCAAAAGCAAAAGAGGGAAGTTTGTAGTTAAAAATGTATACATGAGCAGAGAAAAAAAACTCAAATCAACCACCTCACTTTACACCTCAGGAAACTTACAAAGAACAAACCAAAACCCACAGTGGTCAGAAAGGAGATTAAAACAGAGATGAGAGAGATAAATTACATAGAGACTAGGCAACTAATGGAAAATTCAGCAAAACTGTGAGTTGGTGTTTATAAAATCAGCAAGATTGACAACCTCTTAGCTAGATTAAGGAAAAAAAGAAGACTCCACTTGACTAAAATAAAAAATGAAAGAGGGACTATTATAGCCAATGCACATAAACAAAAGTATCATAAGACTATTGTGAACAATTGTATACCAGCAAACATAGAAGAAATGGATAAATTCCTGCTAACACAACCTACCATGAATCACAAAGAAACTGTACATCTGAACTGACCAATAAGAACTAAAGAGATTGAAAAAACAATAAAAAAATTCCCAACAAAGAAAATTCCAGAACCATATGCTTTCCCTAGGAAATTAATTTCAGTGTTTCTCAAATTTGTCCCAAAAACCAAAAAGGAGAGAACAACCAAGAAATAGCAAACATTGTACAAAAATGAAGAATGAGGTTAAAAAAAAAGTTAAAAATTTTTAAAAAGAGAGAGAACATCTCCAAGTTCAGCTATGAGGCTACCTTGATATCAAAGTCAAACAGACACTACAAAAAATGAAAGTGATCAGCCAATATTCCTGATGACTAATGGTGCAAAAATCTTTAACAACATACTAATAGGCCAAATCAGTGGCATATTAAAGGGTTAAAATCTGTGACTAAATAGGACTTATCCCTAGAATGAAAGAATGGTTAACATATGAAAATCAATATAATTAACCACATTAACAGAATGAAGGGGCTGGGGACCCACATGGTCGTCTCACTTGATGCAGAAAAATCACCTCACAAAATTTAACATCAGCAGTTGAAACCCCAGTGCCTGGGATGAGGGTGGCCTACCTCGGCTGGGTCCACTTGGGCCTTAGGGGAGTTGTTCTCAAGGTCAGGCTCCTCAGTGTTGCTCTCACCCACGTCCTTGTCAGGGTGCAGCCCCAGGACAGTGGGGCCTGGGCGCATCTCCTTGCCCTCCTCACAAGGGAAGTGATCCTCCGCTGCGCTGTTGGATGGGCTTTCAATCCCACTATCCCTATTAGGGATCTTGATGTCACCGCTTGGTTTCCCTGTGGGGTCTGTGTCCCGGGTGCCATCCCCCATAGTAGGTCTGCTTCCAGCGTCCCCAGTGGCAGGGTCTTCATGGTGTGCTCCAGGCCCAGTGGGGAGCACCCGGAGCTTCTCCAGCTCTGCATTAGGCGGCTTCAGGGAGACACTGCCAGCCCCCTCCTGGGTGGCAAAGGAACAGGAGGGTATTGAAGATCCCCCACCTGGCTCCATTTTCAAAGCTTACCAAACTCCCTGGGGGACTGTCCAGAAGCTTCCTGTTAGAGAAAAATGGGCACATTCAACACCAACCAGGCTGTCAGACAGCCCCCTGGTAGAGAATTATGTGACAATGAACACCCCATCAGTTTCAGCAGGGTCTTTTGTACACAGTCTTTAGGATAAATGGAAGGTATTTTATTTTAATGAAAAATGGAAGGTATTTTATTTTAATGACAAATGGAAGATATTTTATTTTAAAAGTAAACTCTTCTACAAGAAGGGAAGGAAGAGGAAGAAAGGAAAGAGGGAAAGGAGGAGGGAATGGAGGAAGGAGAAATCAATGAATCAAAAATATATGTGCAAAATAACAGCACAAACATGTGAACCCAGTGGAATCTGTCTGTAAGGTGCTTTTCATCTTTGATTAGGCTCTGAGGGAGGCAGGTGCCCATCAGGACCCCTCACGGCATTATTCCTATTCTGTTTCTGCCCTCATTCTTCCCCACCCCCTCACCGCCTATCTTTCCTAGAGCCCCTCCCTCAGAAAAGCCAGTGCAATATAATTCTGGATAACAGAACTGCAGGGTGTCACTGAGGAAGGTCAACATGAGGCTAACACTCCCAGTCTTCCTTGGGCTCACAGTGAAGATGAAGGCCAGGAGATACACAACCAATCCTAGAGATAGGTCAGTACCTGAGGTGGTGGGTGCCAGGTCCTGCTGGGTTCCCAGGGTCTGTGTGGAGTTTGCAGAGGATCTCTTTCTTGCCTTGTGAGTTTAAAGGGTGTTGGCTGGTAAGTTCTGAAAACACAGATTGGAGAGTGAACCATCTCTGTGAAGTCATAGCAGCAGCCAGGGCTCAGCTGCGGGCTTAATAAGAGAGGCTGGAGAATCAGGTCCTGGAGAGTCTAAGAGACTGGGAGGGATATAGTACCTTCTTCTTGGGCCCCAGCACTGGGCACCAGCAGCCGTGTCCCCCTCTGCAGTATTAGATCCTGGCAGTAAACTTGGGGCCAGCTCTAAGTCTGTCTCCAGCCAAAGGCTTCCATGCCAGGTACGAGAATCATCTCAGTGTGCAGACACAGAGCACATCTCTCCTGACCATAATGCTTCCAGCACCCTATATTCATACTACACTCAGCTGTTCACACATGCACACACACACACACACACAGGGGCCCAGGTCTGACCCTCATGCCTCTGGGCTCAGTGCTTTGAAGGGAGCATCAGTGCCTCCCATGCTCCTGTGGAGCTGGTGACTCTGTGGGCACCAGCCCGTGTGTGACCATCTCCTGACCTCTTTCTCTCATGGCCACGGGATGAGAGAGCCTTTTTTCAGCCAGCATCGGAATTAGTGTAGGGCACATTTCTGAAGGGCCACTGCCATATCCTTAACAAGCTTAATGGGGAGAAATATTAAGATTTCTAAACAGAAAATACATGCTTTGCTGCATTCTTCTCATAGCACAGGAGAAAAACTCAAAAGTTTCCAGAATTCAGACCTGACACAACCATTAAAATATGTCTAATGGAATGTCCATGGGCTCAGCCTGATGTCAAATGAAGCCATCTGGCTCCAGGTGGAACCTACTGAGAACCAAACTCAGGGACTACTGCTTCTGGTCAAGATGGAATAAAGAAATCAGAGGTATGTTCCTCACCTAAATCAGCCAAAGAAAGGATAAAATGCAAACAGTAGCTTGAGAGATGAGAGGCACCCTACAGCAGACAGGAAATTGCTACCAGAGAGGTGGAGTCAGGCTTCTGATGCCCAGCTACCTGCTGAGGAAGGGCCTCCAGCCCAAGCCCAAGACCGTGAGTGAGGAGATACAGTGGGAGTCAGGAAGAGGAGACGAGAGCCCACAGAGGGAGGAGAAATAGAAAGCAGAAGAGGCCTGAGGTCTGATCTGCACAGGCTTGTGCTGAGGGGGTCAGAGATATGTCCCCTGGATATGCCCATCCCACCCGTCCAACTGGAAACCCCAAGATCTACAGGCACAATGTTTTCAGAAGGGTCTTGGCAGCAGAGTACTAAACCCAACAATGAGCTCTGTTTGGGTCCCCTCTAACAAATAATGACAAATCTTAACAGGGCATCAACTGCTTATAAGCAACTAGACTTCATCCCTGAATAAAGCTCAAGAACAGCCCTAGGAACACAAATCTATCCATTACGCACAAGGGGAGAACCACAATGTCTAGTGTCCAGCCAGGCATACAGAGGGTGGGAAGGCATAACCACAGCCAGGAGGAAACACCAGAGATTGGAAATAACCGTCTCTGCTGGCAGGCGCACCAAGAGGCAGCTGCGGAGCCTCTGTGTAGTCATGTCACGAGGCTAGTAGGACCTTGACGACATAAAGAGAAACACAGTAGGTGTGAGAACCAAAAAGTGCAAGATCAAGATACACTGGAAGGGACACCTGGCATATTAAACATCTCTGAGTTTAATCAGAGAGACAATAGATGTGATCCAAAATGAAAGACAGAGGGAGGAGAAGGGAGAGGAAGAACCTAAGTCAGAGGTAAGAAACTTCAAGCAGTATGATAGACATGATCACAGTCTCTATATATATCACGGGGATCCCAAAAACAGGGTGGGCAGAAAAAATATTTGAGGAAACAATCATTTTCCCAGTGTTCTTCATTGTGTGCATTTTTTCATCTCAGTGGTAATCCCCATGGATTTCCCACCACCACTTCACCCATGTGCCGTCACCACAGTTCCATGTGCTCTTTCCATCCCAGTTTTGACCTGAAAACTGTGAATCCACAGATCAGAGAAGCTCAATAAATACCAAGCACAAGGAACATTTGCTAATTGAAACATTTTCCCACACAGAAAAAAGGCCAGGTTTAGATGGCTTCTTTGGGGAATTTTATCAAACACTTAAGAAGAAATAACACCAAGCTACCTGTGGCTGTGGTCACAGCCTCTTATCTGAGTCCTGAGAACTCCCCCAGGGTGGGGAAGGGCTGTGGAGAGTTAGGTTCAGAGACACCTCAATGGTGAGCACAGAGCCTCGGAGCCTTGAGACCATTACATGGTCAGTAAATGTGGAAAATTCAGGACAATGCCCCAGTTGACTGCAGCCTGAGACGTTAACACCTCCCTATTGGCTCTCCCTGAGGGAGCAGGAAGGGTGGAGATCCTGCTACCTGGGGAGCTCTGCCAAATACAGTCAGGTGCAAGCCCTGCCTGGACTCCTCCCTCTTGTGGCCCAGTCTTCTCAGGGGTCTCTCCAGGTGACAGTCCCCATGGACTGAGGCACAGGCACCTCCCGCAGTGCAGCACATAGGCCTGTACTCTCTGTTTAGTGTGATGATTTCTGCCATTTACTGACAGGACATCCTGGGATAAGCTCACTTCCCAGAGCCTTAGTTTCCTTGTCTATTAATGGGCACAGCAAAAGACACTCCAGCAAAGGGACCTAAAGTCTGTGGCAGTGCACAATGTACCTCAAACATGGCCATCAGCTAGGCTGATGGGCTACAGCCAGCACTCTTGAGCCCCTGGGCTGATCATTACTCCAGCTCAGCTACAGTAGGACTTGTGAAATCAGATGACCAGCACAGTATAATGATTTTTGCCTGAAGCTGGATCAACAGACACTCCCAGACAGCAAGCCCAGGAATGCAGTCTGGCACCAGGAACTGTGACCGAGGTCTGGTGTGTTGCATGCAGAGCTGGGCATGCCTGGGGAATGGCCACCACACTGCTTCTATTTGATCTTTTTATTTCTATATTTACTTCATATTTTCTTTCACTTCCCCCTCTTATTTTCATTTTGTAAGTGTTCCATACTTATCCATTTTATTCCTATTTTCTACTTCATTTCTATTTTTATTCTACTTTTACCTAGAAGGAGTATAAATATAAACACTAGTCACTCACTGTCCATTGCCATACATTGAAAGCAAGGATAAAAATAAAATCACAACCTTTAGAATAAAAACTAAATCTCCCCGCACAGGTCAGTAGATGTACAATAAGGTGAGCAGATGCTCAGAGAGGACACTGCAGATTTCTTGGAGCTTCACTGTAGCTTTAAAGTTTTCATACTAATCTTAGGAAGAAACCTGTTTAATTCTGCAGCTTCCTGGATCTCCAGGCCCCTGCTTAGGGCAGGTGAAAGGGGCTCCTTGTCTGTTCTGACCTCCTCCCATGGGCACATAATTCTCTCTACTTCTGATTATGTTTCATTTAAAAAAAAAGTGATGAGACAAAGCAAACAAGCACCTTCCACCAATCTCAAGCTAAACCTTTCATACAGTTGCCCTCCACACCCTTCCCTATGGCAGGACTGTCTCCAAGTGTCACCCCAGGGTACTGGCACAACTATCCCCTTTGTGAGAAAAGCCTGGCACCAGCTGCCTAGTCACCCACTCCCTGCATTGGAGAGGGCTTCCCAAGATGATAATCCCCCCTGGAGCACACCCTCCTTCACATGGTCCTGTCCTGGTTCACAGCCAGACTCGCTGAGAATGTCTGGTGATTTGAAGGGGTAGATTTGAATCAGTATCTCGAGTCTTTACTTCCTTTCTAGAACATATTCTACATAAATATATATAAACATGCTCTGCTGAGTACAAATGCTAAAAATATAAAATACAAGTCAAAATTACAGAAAGTCAAACCACACCCCTTGTTGATAGTCAGAAGGTGCCAGTCAGCTGCCCCATGCTATCTTCTCCAAGTGCCCATGACCCTGTTGATTTATTACAGTAAAAGGGACACCTGAGGGTATAAATTACCCTCCCAACATCATATACCACACTCACAAGAGCTTCAAATCCTGGGCCTGACTAACTCCATGTAGGCCCAATGAAGCCCCCAGAGCTGACATGGAAGCTCAGTCATTATCCACCTTATTGAAGACCTAGGTGATCAGTCCTCATCACTTATGGTGGTTCAGCATCTCTGACAGAGACAACAGCATACCACACAGAGGGCAGAGCATCCAAGACAAAAGGAACAGCATCCCAGACAGGGAACAGCATCTCAGAGGGAACGGAACAGCAGATGGAGGAAACAGCACCTCAGCCAGCGGAAACAGCATGTCAGATAGAGGGAACAACACCTAAGACAGCGGGAGCAAACCATAGAGGAAATAGCACCGTTAGGGAGAAAACAACATTACAGAAAGCAGGAGCAGTATCCTTTATTGAAGGAAATTCCTTTCAGCCAGATGGAACAGCATCTCAAATAGAAGGATGCAAAAGTAGACATTAGTGAGCCAAGCCAGCTGAGGAGCGGGCAGAGTGCCCAGGTGGATGAAAAGAGGTGGGTGTGCAGCCCGGTAGCTGGAGCCAAGGTAGATCTCACAGTCGTGACAGCTATGCATGGCGTAACATCCCCTTCAAGTCTGAGTGCCATGAATACCCAAGTTCTGACTGGCTGGAGTTAACACTTTGACTCCCACACTCTCCCTTTTACTGTGGAGCATCAGTTTCCTCATCTGTCTGTGGGGGTCATCTGAGTCCACCTGGGGCAGATAGACAGGATGCTGTGGGGCAGTTGCTTCTGGCACTGGGGCCATGGACTCCTTCTAGGTCACTGTTGGGATCCAGGGGCCAGCCCTGGGCTCCCAGGATCACAAGCAGCCAAGACTCACCCATCTTCAGCATCGGATCGCATCTCTCTCTGACCTCAACAACCAACAGTGACCAAGGCACTGCGTGTGCAGAACTTGGGGGCCACTACACATCAGGAGAGACAGGCTTTTGTGCAAGAAAAGGTTTGAACCTGAGGAGCGGAACTGGGGCCTCTGGCCTTCTGCGCCAGCCCAGCAGGGAACAAA